ATGTCTAAGTAAGCATCTTGTGTGAAAACGTATATAAGAGGATCATGAGCAACATACTTTGGGGTCATGTATGAAAGCCCCTCCGACCTTACTATTCGGTGGTTGTGCGCCAGTTGTAGCATACTTCAAGCATTCGATGATTGTCTAGTTGTAATTTAGCTAAATCCTGGACGATACTATCTGAAAACAAATCCGTACCGTTTTCCCCGAACCATTGAGTCCGACGATGAGTGTGAGCGGGGTGTTGAACGAGATATTCTCCCAACCCTTGTGATCGAAGGATCGCACCCTATGAGAACGGAACCTAATAAGTCCAACTATCCTAATGCATGCATGATTGAGATCAATGAGACTAACCCGCATATTCTCATTTTTTCTATTTTCGACATCTTGTTGATTTGTGACGGCTGTAACAGCCTCTTAAGCTCTGTCGATTGAAGAAGAAAGTTGATGATTGCGAACCGAATATCGATAGTCTAGAATATTAACGTCAGTACTGGAATTGATGCAAGAGGCACTGGGCTAAGAAACAATGAAAATGGCTACCTTTCTTTCTGCGCCTGTCTGTGGTTTATGTATGCGTGTGTTTGAATTGGCAGATTGGTAACAACTGAAGAAATAAATAGATATGACGCTCCGCTAGGCCACTGCCGTGGAGGCTTCTTCGCTTCGCTCCAGATAGTAAAATCTTCTGCGAAGTTGATGGAATGATGGATTGGACAGGGGAGGTTGTAGGTGGTCATCAAATGGTAGAAGAAGAAAAAGTTGTTGTAGAGGTTGAAGTTGGACGCGCAGCACGATAGATTGAGAGGAAAAGAAACGCGTTCAGAGAGCACGCAGTCACGTGTTATATTCTAGACAACTGTCCCGTCATTGCTTGCTGCACTCCTAGGTAGGTGCTATGCTACGTGCTACGATGTATACCACCATACTCAACTGTGCAGATTAGTCATATGGGTGGTGAGTCTAGAGATGGTCAGAGAGATGTCAGAGAGATGGTCAATGCATAACCTTAGTAGGCATTTCCCTTCCCCGCCGCCAAGTTGGGTCCAAGTACTAGGTAGGCACTCAGAGTCGGAATTAGTACCCAGTCATCATGGGTGCTAGGTAGGTAGTAGGTACCCCTAGATTCTAGATGTTCGAGGAGAAGCGAGACTAGACTAGATAAATCGATGACGTGAGCGATGTCATCCGATTCCACTCCAAGCATTACGATGTTCGGAGTTGGAGCACCCGACGACAGAATCTGGTTCATGGGAGAGACAAAGAAAGAAAAAAAAAAAGAGATTGGCGTCAAGCAAAAGGAAGGGATGGAAGACTCATAGCATGATCTGGTATTTTATATAAATTGTATAAATTAGATAAATTAGATAAATTATATAGGGACCTTGGTAGACATATAATGGAAAGGTCGATTCATCGTTGAGTTGATATTATCTAGGTGAATGTCTATTTCATATAATTATCGGCCAGTATAACTACGCATATATATCAATTGTTAACATATAACCCTGAGCATTTCATATACTTTTTACCATATACGCATCCTTGGGTAGGTACATCCACCAGTCTGACATCTTACATCTCATCTCACACCTCACTCACATCTTTACCACACCACGCCATACCAGGTACTAACCATCTTCATTCACTCCAAGAAACCCCCAAAACCCCCCCCCCCCCCCCCCGAAACTCCCCCAAAATATCACATTTTCACAATTGCCATGTTTCTCCATTCCCCATTTTACCGCCCTATATTTCGTCATTCCAAAACTACTTAAATACCTTAATTCCATAAATACCTAATTAGGTTGGTAATCGTAACGGTACCTGATATTATCCGTCATTTCATTTATTCTTAATTCCACTCCATTCGACTCAACTCGATTCGATTCGACTCGACTGGACTGGAACTTCAAATTCAAACCTTGGGGGGAAAATTTCTTCCCCTCTTTGAATTCCAGCCTTCCCGACAAAGCTTCGAGAGCGCAATATCTCAGCACCACAATTTATATTCTACCGTCCTCGATAGACTTATACACCTACCTACTTACCTACCTACCTACCTAGACCCGTCACGTCCGCACTACCTATCCGCCTCGAATCCAAATGCGCATACAGAGACAGAGACAGAGACAGAGATACATACAGATAGATACTCTTCTTCACGCTCATAGCACAATCAGAGTTCGAAAATGCCCGAGGGGGATACATCTATGAATATGAATAATTTGAATCTGGATCCGACAGATTTCTTGCAACAACATCATCATGCAGCCAACCTCGGATCCATAGATCGGGCTCTCTCAGCCTCGCAGGTGCGATAATCTTCAGTTTTCCGAAATCTCTTAGTCCTTCACAGCCTTCCTTACATCTTTGGGTGAAAATTCTTATAGCATCCAATTACAGTATGCTAATTATTTACAATCTCCAATCTAGGTCGATCAAAATTTACCCGATACCTTAATGTCGGAGATGCTACAGGATAATTTAATGATGGACTTTGATGGACTCCCCGATATGAGTATGGATATGAATACCCTTGGTGACAATGGCAACATGCCGAAATCTTTTACATCACTCAACATGATGTCGCCCGTCGGAAATGAACACGCCGATGATGGAAGACGGGGAGGAACAATTGATGGCGATTCCCAGATTAAAGAAATCGGGGCGGGCCCTTTACCTGCAGGCTTTGGGGCCCAGCCATCAAATACAAGTAACAGCTCAGTCAATGATTTCACGAGACGAAGAAATTGGCAACAAAAGGTGGTTGAAGAGATCAAGGACTTTTTGCACGTCTTGACCCCTTTCGGAAAGTTCGTCTTTCTTTCGCCTAGTTGTCAAAGTCTTACTGGATATGCTGCAGAGGAGCTTCAGGGGAAATTCATTGTGGATTACATACATCCAGATGATAGTGCAATGTTTGTGAGGGAGTTCAATGAAGCCATTGCATCGGGTAATAAACTGCGATTCTATCTCCGATTTCGCAAGAAGGACGAGTCCTACACAATATTCGAGTGTCACGGGCATGCCCATTATGCATCAAGACCCTCACCAACAGCGGCTGTCCCAATTCCAGATTCAGATCTCCCACTTAGAGAAACAGCGGATTATTGCAGGGGCTTTTTTATGATGGCACGAAAATATCCAACCAAGAACGCCCTTCTACTGGATTCATTTTTAGAACACAAAACCGAGTTTGAGCGAATGTCAAAGAAAATCAGGGATCTCAAGAGAGAAGAGGAAGAAGAATTCGAAGATAGTGAAAGAAACTGGACTCATCGACAACCATCAGACTCTTCTGAGACAATGACCACAGCCATGAGCGCATCCCTCCCTGCAGATCCGAACCATCCTGATTTCCTAGCGATGCCTCCTCCAGCAAGACCGGACATGTCATATAGCACCTTGACCAAAGCGAATCTCGAGGATGCGATTTCTAGTAGACAACCCGATTCTATCAAAGATAAAATGCAACGATATGAGGGTGTTGATACTGTAGAAATGCTCACCGGGTTACAATATCGAGATGGTGAAAGAAGCCAAGGGATTAGCACCGGCGCCCGCAGCCCAGCTTTGATTAGAGGTGATGTTGGTATTGCTATACCAATTGATAAGGATGGCCGTCTGGGGGATAAGAAAAAGAAGATGAAGCTAGCAGATGAGTATGTTTGCGCAGATTGTGGTATGTTCATTCTCTCTCTAAAAATTCCGAAGAGAAAGCTGACATTTTTAAAGGTGTTATGGATTCACCAGAATGGCGCAAAGGTCCCAAGGGTCCCAAGACGCTCTGCAATGCCTGTGGACTTCGATGGGCAAAGAAAGAAAAGAAACCACAAGCAGGGTCGGCACCAGCGCCTCCAAATACTCTCACGGGACCTTCCCCAGGCCCTTGAGATATTTGTGCCGACTCTTTCACGAATATGACATGTTTGATATACAAGGCGTTTGGATCTAGGGGATTTATATGAAATTCAGCATGGAGTTTGACGGGGATGGTGTTCTAGAGGGTTCATGAATTTAATACCCAATTGGCTAGTTTTAAAGGCCGGCGTTTCTCTTTTATATCTTGGACTGAAATGTCAGATGATTTGCTACGCGTGTTTGAAGTTCAAGAGGGTTATATACCTAGCTATAGTGGATGTGTTTATAACCATGCCATGTCTTATCAGTTTAATACTTGATTTTATGCACGCTATGAATGATGTATGATGTATCTAGTACTCTCTCATGGGGAAATTAAAGATGATTGCATTACGGATTATATTCCATCTATTGTAAGTGGTCAAAAACAAACCGGATATAATCCCTTCTATATTCTTTTGATTCAAAGGTTCTCTCTTTCTCTCTCTCTCTTTCTTTCTTTCGCCCCCCTACATGGACCCCTATATATATTTGGTTAGTTTGGGAGACAAGATGGGATAGAGATGGGATAGAGATGGGATAGAGATGGGATAGAGATGGGATAGAAATGGGATAGAAATGAGATAGAGATGAGATAGAGATAGGATAGAGATAGAATAGAGATAAAATAGAGATAAGATAGAGATAGGATAGAGATAAGATAGAGATGGAATAGAGATAGAATAGAGATAAGATAGATAGATATTAAATAGATAAATATTCAATCTATTCAGAAGGTAATTATAAGATCATATAACGAATAGAAGAGTTATGAGTGGCAATTTAGTTGTATATCAAGCTGGCTTTTAGGATGTATGATATTATATGGATTCCGAAAGATAGGATAGGGTATTGAGATTCATATCCTGATATTGTATATAAATAACATAATTTGAGATTGAACTTGAAGAAGCATAATACATTTTCTTGTCATCATTATTTCAACATCTTTTCCTCTCCCTTCATCTGCACTCACAATTCACAGGCACAATCTTTGAATCCAACATACATATATATTCAATAAACCAAGTAACCAAGTACCTACAACAAAAGAACCAACCCAACAGAGAGAGAAAAATACAAATCACAAATCACTAATTCCCCATCCCCTCTCTCGTATACGCCTCCCCCTTCGTCCGTTTCTTCGCCACCTGAGCCGTTGCCCTCGCTCCCGCTCCCCGATTCACCGGTACCCTCGACGCTCTTCCCTGGGCACCACCACCCGCCGCCGCATATCGAACCCGCGACGTGACCCTCTCCGCCGTAATTTTCGCCGCGCTCTTCGCCTTTGCCGTGATTTTCTCTGCAGGAGCTCCCGCGCTTTTAACCCTCGATGCTAATTTCACTTTCGCGCTTCCCGCTGCGTTTTTGGCTTTTGATGCGATTTTCGCGCCGGAACTTTCAGCCGCATCTCTCACTTTCTCTGTCGCTTTCTCGTATACTCTCCCTGCGCTCTTGGCCTTGGAAGCTGCATTCTCAATCGCCTCTTCCGCTTGTGATTTCCGCGTCTCATACTCATCATAGCTTTCTTTAGCTTTGGCTGACAATCTTTCATATGTATCACCAGCTAGATCCTCCGCCATCGAAGCCCCCTTTTGAAAACCCTCTTTGATACCTTCCTTCGCATCTGAATAAGCGGTTGGATAATCAGGAATCGGTTGTTCTCTTCTTTTCCCGAACCGGTTATAGCCAGACGATCCCGTATATTCATAAGCACTAGAAGCCGTCTCTCTTCCCCTTATCACCGACTCTCTCAACGAGTCCGTGATCGCAGCGATGGAACTTGTAAGCCAAGCGACCAACGCTGCCCATCCAACCACATACAAGAGAACCAAAAATGTACCTAGAGATAAAAAGCCCAAAATCGTCAAAAGATCCTTAACTCTCTTAAGTTCCCTACCCAATTTCTTTTCTTTCTCTGCCACGAAATCAAGAAGTGGTTCGACGAGTTTTCCTTTTTCTTTGTAGTAAAATACCGCTCCCGCAGTCGTGACATTAAACACACTCTGGCCATCCATATCACCACCCGGCTTTGAATTTCCCGCCCAGTATCTCTTCGTGACGGGCCATATTGCAATTTTCACACCTGCCTCGTGCGTAAAACCGGGAGGTTTTTGGTCTGCTAATTTCTTCTGCACATCTTGAAGACGACGAAGAGCACGTAAGCCGGCATTTGATTCAAGGCGTGCTTTGCCTGCATTGCTGTAGGCGATTACATAGCCTTCGGCTTTTGCGCGTTCGATTTCCAATTCTTCGCGATCTCGGTTCCAGTTGTTTTGAACGACGGTTTTGGATAAGGTCCAGGAGTTTTGGAGAATGGAGGTGTGTTCGTCGGGTGTGTAGGCGGTGCCGGGCATGAGGGAGACGGTGTGGATTATGGTTGGGGAGATGCGGATACAGATGGATAGGTAAGCGGCGCTGGAGAATATGTTGTGGAGGGATTGGTATAGGGCTGTAGCTTTGGGGGTGACGGTTTCGGGACCGGCAGGAAGAAGCGTGAGGTAGTTGAAGAGAGGCAGGAAGAGGAGTAGTACTTGGGCGGTCAATTTTGTGCAATCTCTGTGGAAATTAGGGGTTAGAGATGCTCCGCCCAAGAGAGTGCGAATAGATCTGCGGCGGAGTTCTTGACGACTGTAGCCTACAAAGCAAGAAACGTTAGTTTGGATTGCCATCAAAGCTTTCATCAGCTGATCCTTGGGATATCATACCTTCACTATCGAGAAGTGCACGATCCAAACCATGAAGAAATTCTTCTCCCTCTTTAGTGTTTCCCCATAGAACCGCCGAAAAGACCCTGGCCTCTAATATCTTTACAATGATACCGACAATGAGATACTTTCTTGTGTTCGTATCGAGCAATATCTCATCCCATCCCCCAACTACTGTATCTGGCTCAGCAACAAGTTCCACATATCTGTAAAACTCCTCTGGCATCTTAACAGCCCACGGCTCGTGAAACCCTTCCTGTAATTCTTGAAACCCAAAAAACTTCGTAGCAAACTGGACAATCGCTATGAACAAATTGGCATACTCGTCCTTAAACCATGCATTACTGCGATCTCCTTCTGGATGCGGAGGATGCTCAAGTTGAAGGGGCATAAAGCGTTTGAAATCGGCCATAGTAGTAGGTCGTGCCCGAGATTTTCCATACCATTTCCGTCCTCTGACCGGCACTTGATTCTTCGCATTTGGGCTGTCAGCTTCGGCCAATGCCTCTTCTGCTACCGGAGGGAGAACCTCAGACTTTTCCACAGTTTGAGACGCTGCACTTGCAGGAACAATGTCTGTAACTGGACTGCTGGTTAGGCTATTGAGCAGTGTAAGCCCTTTTGTTTTATCACCCTCCTTTCGTACCGCTAACAATGCTTCTAGAGCTTTGTTTCTTCGTTCTTGTATTAAATGTTGGTTCACGATTTGGCTGCCAACTAGTCGCCGTGCATTCCGAAGATTTGTTCCTGTTGTTTGAAATAAAACACTTTTGTCGTCCTCGCCAGGGAGTCTGTCCTCGTCGTCCACATCATCAAGCAGGTTGAAATTGGTTCTATTTCGTGAGAACGACATAATTTTGAAGTTGAATTAAACAATTACAATATGCGTAGCATTCGGATTGGAATTTCACAATTGTGCAATGTTGCAACTTTGATTGAGATTTGTATATAATAAAAGAAAAGAAAATGAAGGACAATCGTGAAGCTTTCTTCAAAGAAAGGAAGAATGCGGGCTATACAAAGAAAGTAAAAGCTGTAAGCAATCACCTCTTTCTGTTCCGAATCGAGTCAAACGATATGAATGAAAGCACTGCAAGGGGTTAAAACAATTGTAAATCGCTTTGATTTGAAATATCTGTGTTCTTGTAATCAAGACTTCGGCTCCCTGACATCTTGCTACCAATCCTTGGTCATAAGATTGGGCCTTGATAGCAAATTCGTTGACGACAACAATTCTTCTCCCCTAGGAAGTTTATATTAGCAGTAGCTTTTGAATATATTAAAAGGGTATTACCTTACTGATGAGCTGTACATTCAATTTCCACATCGGTCCCGAGTGGCAATTGGTGTACCGCAACGCAAGTCCTGACTGGCTTCGGATTCTTATGGAAGAATTCTGCATAGACTTTGTTCATAGCTGCAAAATTCTGCATGTTGGTTAGGAAGACGTTGACTTTGACAACATTGTCAAGACTACTGCCAGCGGCCTCCAGAACCGCCTGAAGGTTCAGAATTGCTTGTTTCTAAACTTGTTAGTCAATGACGTTGACCATAGAATCTGTAGATAGGAATTGAGACATACGGTCCGATCAGCAACACCTCCTTCGACGAGCTTCATTGTAGCAACATCCATCCCAATGCTACCAGAGCAATAAACCATTCCCTGACATTTGATGGCCTGGGAGAAGAAGGGCAATGGCGGTGGTGCCTTGTCGGTTGAAACGGCTTCTTTTTGAGGCATCGTGTATGATTTTTCCTAAGCTTCTAATAGTTGGATCAAGTAACTATAGTTCAATAGAAACGATGAAGTGTTTAGCTTTGTTGTTGATATTGATGTTGTAGGTATTAGGAAGGTGGGGGCATGGTGGAGGTAATATACACAGTAAAGATGGCGGGGAATAAGACTGATTTGCCTTCATCGCCGTGGCTTTTCAATTCAACATAATTCCTATGTTTCTTGTAAGCCAACCAACCAATTGCACCTCGCAAGTTTCACTCTATTTGAGACAACTAGTTCTATTTCAAGCCATATTCGTAAAAGCCTTCTATTTCTGTTTCGACTTTGTCCAAGGTATCAACAACTGTGACGTCATAATGCTTGAAGATAGAACATGATTAGAATATGAATATGAGTATGTATATAAATGCTCGATATGTATCTTCAAGGGGAGTAAAAGGGGAGTAAAAGGGGGGTTTTTTAGGATAAATCTGGTGAATTGACAGTCAGTCATCTTAGTCTTAGTAGACTTTGAGTTGTCGACAATGAGCGGCTTTCTCACGTGCCATAAGCAAGAGCTCCCGGTGACCCCGCACAAGATCTAATTATCCTCGGCATCTCGAGATTCTACATATAATGTTTGAGTCCATGAGGCTGGGTTATTTTGAGCATTTCTTAATCTTTAATGTGACTGATCTAAAATCTCAACTGCTCTGGATTTCACACGAATATTTGCCTTTGTTTTGCTTTACACATTGTTGAAGTTCGTTAATGGTCCAGGAGACTCTCACTACTGCACCACATTTAATCCCGACTTGGACAAAAAAGTACATACGAACTTCTCATGCTGTGGTTCTTCAAAATAATAAAAGTCAAATTCTAATCACATCAACCCGTCAAACCCTCAAATAGAGCCAGACAACTGAACATGACTTCCTCACTCCCAACCTCCTACTTAACCCTTCCTTTCCAACATATCCGCGTCTCTCACGTACCCAAGTCCTCGCCCATACCCACTCCAACCATTCTAATCACACTCTATCGACCAGGAAAACACAATGCGTTCACAAATACCATGGCCGAAGATCTTGAAACAGCTTTCAATCTTTTGTCACTTGATCCTAGAGTGAAATGTATTGTTATGACTGGTCATGGAAAGATGTTTTGTGCTGGAGCGGATTTAGATGCCGGATTGTCATATGAAAATGATACGGCGCTAACGCATCGGGATGGTGGTGGAAAGGTGTGTATTTTATTCTTTCGGGTTTGGGGGAGTATTCAACTTCCCGCATTCTTGAGGACAGATCTTGTTGATTGATCCCCTTGTTTAGGTAGCACTAGCTATCCATAGATGTACGAAACCTACAGTTGCGGCTATCAATGGGTGAGTAAAACAACCACGTTCGTCTCATTTGATGTCTTCCGAACATAGCTAACACTTTCGTAGCTCAGCTGTCGGTGTAGGCATAACTCGTAAGGATGAACCCTACCCCATTAGATACCTAATTCCGATTTCAATCTCGTTCCTACACAAGAAACTTTTTCTAATTCACCTCAGTGACACTCCCCACTTCAATCCGTATTGTTTCGTCTACAGCAAAAATCGGATTCGTATTTGCCCGCCGTGGTATCATAATGGAAGCATGTTCCTCCTACTTCCTCCCCCGTCTTATCGGTCTCTCCCGCGCTATGCACCTCACGACAACTGGGTCAATATACCCCTCAACATCCCCTCTCCTCTCTTCTCTATTTTCCGAGATCTTACCCCCTGAACAGGTTCTTCCACGTGCACTAGAACTCGCAAATGACATAGCTCAAAATACGAGTGCAGTTTCAACTGCGGTTATGAGAGATCTGATGTGGAAAGGGCCAGGAACGGCGGAAGAAACACATCTATTGGACAGTAAAATTTTGTTGGAGTTGTTTAGATCAGGGGATAAGAGCGAGGGAATTAAGAGTATGTGGCTTCTTTCTTAGGAAGAATTGTGGGATCATGTTAATTGGTATATGTTAGGCTTCATGGAAAAGAGAACCCCCGAGTTCAAGGATAACATGCAAGAGAATGCACCAAGTGTTTGGCCATGGTGGAAATTAGTTGATACTAAGCCTCCAGCTACAATTGAAGGATTGTCCCGGAAATTGAGGACAACAGAGCTAGAACCGGGTAAACCTAAACTTTGAATTTAAGTTATCAGCTTTTGCATAGATGGTATACAGACTGTTCAGAACCATTTGAACCATGAACACCAACTTCTCGGAGAGAAATGCGCGAAAACAAATGAAGACGACGACTGTAACGTTTTAGTATCCAGTAAGCCTCTCATGAAGGCATGGCGTGAAATAAAGTGCAGTAAGGGCGAGGTTAAGGGTGCAGCATATGGTTAGCGGCAGATCAGTTGGTAGGAGAAAGCAGGGAGTCAACGCTTCGGCGACTTAATGGTGAACTTCGAGATCGATCCAAGTGTATATGCAAAAAGGCGTATTTGCATTTACTGAACTCACTTCCTGTGTAGAAAGAACCACCATGTCAATCTGCATGTGGATCAAAATTGTCGTTTTGTCGTAACCAGAAAGTTGCAATGAGATAAAGCAAAATCCTCAACTCACTTGAACATCCCTCAACTAATTGGCGGCAATTAGACTTACTCAGCGCCAGCGTAGGTTGCGCAAGTCAATGCTAGATGACGATGATAATGATAACCGACAAACAGGAAGTGACAACTAAAAAGCTTTGATAACAGATGACGATGACTGGCAAGCGTTGTTACTTTGGTACAACACCAGCACACGCGTCCGAAATTGACCTGTTGATTACAAAAAATCCTGATATACGTGCAGAATAGCTTCCCCCTGTGAGAATCAATGAATCCTATAACCCTTCTTATACTCCAGATAAGAGTTGAACATTTCTTATACAGCCAAAAACTAGCTTGCTAAAGGCGCCGAGCCAAGTTCTTGCCTCGCCCGGTACAATTCTTTTCCAGAGTGAAATCCAATCACTTCTTATCCTCAAGACAAACCCCAAGAATAGAAGCCACTACCAACTGCCTTCCCCCGCTGTAGAAGCAAGATGATGAAATTGTCGAGGAGGTATATTAACCACTTATTATGTGGCGATGGATCGCACCTCTATCAATACAATAATGACAAATCTGAGCCTTTCTCATGGCAACCTGAGTGTCAAATTAAGGTATTATAATCCAAGCCAATGTGCAGATATTGTGTCAGGGTCAGGAATTCGAAAGACTGAAGAAAACAAGTCTTAATTTGTGTTGCCATTGTATACACTTCTTGTCATGATATCGCAAAATAGACGAATGGTACGGTTCGTATTGATAGTAAAACAACCCGTAACAATAAATCTTTCTTCCAACATTCTTACCCAGATATTATCCCAAATCGGGCATCATAATACCCGCAACCGCACCGATGGTAGCGTATGATTGAGTAATAAGCTAGCTAATCCCTAGGAGTAGCCTCTACCGTGTTATCAAACTATGGCACAGGAGGGAAATTCACGCCCGATCCGCTTTTGCTCTTTTTATATGGCGATTTTTGAGAGGAAGTTTGGCAGTGGGGCAGTCTGCGTTGCGGATGGGTTTCGTTTTCATACATTGTAGCTAGGTATTCTGGACAGGCAGACTTAGAAAGACCAAGCATTCAATATCTAGTTTAAGAAGGTGGTACTTGGTTAAACAGGGAGTAGCTTGGTTCCACTTGGAATCTTGACATACCATACAGCAATTATCTTTGACTTCACATTGAACTCTGAATACTATGCTGTTTGAATTGTTTGTTTTCATTTAAGATGTGTTAGCTTTTGTGGTTTTCACCACAGCTATGTTGTCGGTCATTATTGACATTTAATGGCGCATCGCATGACCGATATGAGGTCAGACATGAGGGATTTTAAACACTCTTACGCCACGAATGCCTACCGGTTTGTCCCATTTTGAGACCAGAGATGAAAAGTCTCCACAGTCCGAAATTAATCGGAAGCGTATCTATTTGCCATGTTTCCTCTTCTTAGACAACCAAATCATCTTATACGTCGACGCAGTGGAGCTAGAGCTTCGTTCTGGGCGTGTCGTTCGAATAAGCCTCCGAACATATTTCTACAATGCACATGTTGACTAGTTCGCATATAGTCTGTTGTGCAGGCGGTATTCAGGATTGACCTAAATCTGCAAACACGAAGACCGTTGCCCAACATTCCTATACACTCACGATTGGTCCATAAGCGCCTTGTACTGTCTCTCTTCATCTTCCAGTCTCTTCTGTTCATCTTTTTTGGCAGCTTCGGTATTATCTGCCATAGTCTGCTTCATTTCTTCAGCATCCTGTGCACCTAGCACATCTTTAACAACATCTATAATTCCCCACTGCTCGTTTTCATCTGGAAATCTCAACTCCAATTCTTCAATAATGATATTCAAATTCTCCATTGATGTTGGTCGATGATTGACAATCATAAGGATTTCGGCTTTGGTCAAGTCATAGGGACGAAGCTGTTCAAGGAGATTTCGAATTGTATCTTCATGATATGGACATGGCTTTTGTGCGAGAGGTGATGGTGCTTCTTCAAGGTATTGCATCAACTACAAAAGGATCAGCCTTAGATATACGAGTCATTACGAAGCAAGGTGCTACCTCTTTGATAACATTGTCAAGATTTCCTGGTCTCCTTCCTCCTGTGCGGTGTTTCTTTTGAATATCCTTCAGATGAGTGTAAACCTCAAAATTGCTAAGGGTCGCGGATTGTGCTTCTAGAATCTTCATGGCGGTTTAATATCTCTGGTGTACTAGTGTGTTGTAACTGACAGTAGATGTTACCTAGTACTCCCCAAGACGTTGTATTATGTGGCTCTTTGTAGATGGGCGTTGATTGTTGGGTGACAATCTTCAGCCTTGAGGAGAAAATAATTTACAAGTTAGACTATCTCATGCAAAACATATTTAAGCGAGTTCAGCCTCGTGCTGCGGGGTCTGGATGGGGTTTAATTGCTCAACTCTAATAGGCTAAGCACGTCACCAGATCTGACCGAATGAATCTTTTTTTTTCTTTCCCTCTTGTGTGATTGATTCAAAACTTTTGCTTGTGAGAGGTTTTCTTTTTATTTATATTCAAGTCGTATCTATTCGATTCATCAACAGGAACCCTTTAAATCAATTGGAAATCAAAACCCTCCAAATTGGGGAAAGAGGAAGATTTACTATAGCAAAAGCTATATCTATAAAAGGTTCATCATCTACCATTTATTGCCTTGAATTCCTGTTTGATCCAATTCTTTCTTCTTTCTTTCAAAGCCCTTAGACCGCCCCAGATTTGACGCGGCTACGAAACCCCTCACCAAAACGTTGATCCCGCATCTCAATTCAAATCTTTCAACAAAAACCTCAATCATCAGTACTATCATCACCATATCGCAACTACCTCAATCTTCTTGCCATATATCAGAAGATATGGTTCGTAATCTGGTTGTTCTTGGAGGAAACTCCCATCCGCAGATAACAGAGATAATCTGTAATACGCTCGGTGTTCCACCCTGCAACAGAATTCTTAAGAAATTTTCCGTTGGTGAGAGTCGTCTCGAGATCCAAGACTCAGTCCGAGGCAAAGATGTTTATATCATTCAATCGGGCGGAGGAAAGGCCAATGATCATTTCATAGATCTTTGCATTATGATTTCCGCATGCAAAACTGGATCTGCTAAGCGTGTCACTGTCGTCCTTCCTTTGTTTCCTTATTCACGACAACCCGATCTTCCATACAACAAGATTGGCGCACCACTTGCCAAGGGACCCGCCGACGTTAAGGGTAACTTTACTTTCGAAAGTCGACCAGCAACACCGGGTCCTTCCTCCCCACAAACACCAGGCCTCGGCAATGGCACTAATGGTATGGAAAAATTACAGAAGAAGCTTGGAAAAGCATCTCTGGAGCAGATTAATACCCAAACTTCAAATGGAATAACACCCAGACGACAAGATACTTCGGATTCCATTGCTTCTCTCACCAATGGACGCTTGGCTGACGGATCATCAACTCCCGTGTCAACTCCACATTTCACCACTCACGATTACGAGAACCCTGGATTTGTCAATGGTCAAAGCAAAACTCTTTTCCAAGGCAAGCCAGGATACAAACAGTGGGTAGCGCAGGCGGGCACACTCGTCGCAGATCTTTTGACTTGCTCTGGTGCCGATCAGGTAATCACTATGGATCTCCACGACCCTCAGTATCAAGGATTCTTTGACATTCCAGTGGATAATTTGTACGGCAAGCCTCTCTTGAAGAGATACATTCAGCAAAATATCCCAAACTTTCACGATGCTATCGTCGTAAGTCCTGATGCTGGTGGAGCAAAGAGAGCAACTGCGATTGCCGATGGACTCAACATGGAGTTTGCATTGATTCATAAGGTAAAACTTCCCCCAATTCTACTCCCTGCGCACACTCATATCAATTAGGAACGTCGACCTACCCGAATTACCGATCGCCAAAATGCTACAATGATGCTTGTAGGCAATGTTCTTGATAAAGTTGCTATACTCATCGACGATTTGGCCGATACCTCGAACACCATTACAAGAGCTGCCAAGTTGCTCAAGAAAGAGGGTGCCACTTACGTCTACGCTTTGATAACCCATGGAGTTTTCAGTGGTGATGCTATTGAGCGTATCAATGCATCTGCGCTGGACAAAATTATCGTGACCAATAGTGTTCCACAAGATGAACATCAACGTCTCTGCCCGAAATTAGAGGTCTTGGAAGTTGGCCCGGTCTTTGCCGAAGCAATTCGTCGTGTCCACCATGGAGAGAGCATTTCTGTATTGTTTAATTATGATTAGACTGAAGATTGGCTATTTTCCGTCAGGGGCATCGCATTCAGGAGTTCGGGCATTGGAGGGGAGTACATTGGTAGAGTACTCGCTTGGCGCATTGCAAACCATGGCTCATATACAATTGCTATACCCATAAACCGCACTGCGGACTATACAAAATTTTCCATTCTTGTTCATATGGCATGGAAGAAAATTAGATATATACAACACTCGATCTTTGGTAGATTTCCATTGAACGTCTTGACGAACCAAGTGCTGGGTTAGGCGTCTAGAGTTGCATATAAATTAAAAGCATAGAACTGAACATAAAAATGGATAAATGGGAACGTAATCTCAAAGAACATTTATTGGTTTAAAATATGTGTGTGCACACTTATGGTTTGTATGTGATGTATCTCCACGCGGTTTTATATTATCTTGTCCAATCGGTATAGCAATCACTGATATCAACATGTTGTGCCACCAAGCCACGGAATGATGAACATTTTGATATGGTCTGGCTATGACGGTTGTTTTGAGGTCTCTGGATCAGAGACCAAGAAATTAAATCTTACTTGAGCTAAACGATCATCAAGTTCAGGATTGGAAAATTGATACTTCTAGGAGCATTGGGAAATCGACTATCAAATGCAGCGTGCAATAGAGAAAACAGTAAGAAATTCCTACATATAAATCAATTGACGACAAGATGGAAGGTAGTACATCAAAATTTAAGAGGGGTTTGGGCAGAACGGTGGTTACGTCATCTGGTTGGATGTATATATCTATTCATTTGGCTTCTAATATGGTGACTATTGATATCTTACTATATTCTGCAGTGATGTTTGGCAAGCGGAATTGGGAATGCATGGATAGCATACTCTGCTGGAAGCTTTCTTTTGTGACGATGAGGGTAGGCTGTGGTGGGAATTCTGCATATTTCGGCGAACTGATTGTTTGACATGATTCTTTTGGTACATTTTCAGATAAAACTGAGATCCCGCAATTCAATCTGGTGTAAAGTCCTCGTAGTACTATTTTTGAAGTGGCAGGATACTGTCACTTTATGTCGTTTGTGAACCGAAAACTGTCCATCACGGACTATGAGTACCTATCCAATATTCACCAGAGATTCATCCTCTTCCTTTGAAAGTATGTTTGATACGATCGCAAAGGAATGGTTTCCTGCAGAGTTGCAAACAAAGTGGCACGGGGTTGCCAGTACATGAAATACTTAGTGCCATTCGCAAACTACAAGATACAAAACATTAGACACCAGGAACAACCCTCTCTCTCCGACATCATACATACACCACGATGGCGTCTTCAACTCCACCTAGCCTTCGGTTTATGAACCATCCACATATTACACATCACAGTACTCATCATACCAGGGATCGCAACTGGCACTTAAGTGTTACCATAACCTCCAGAAAAAGAACCGCAGCCGACGATCCTCCAACCACATATACACCTCCAAGATCAGACTCTCCCCTGATTCCAGACTCTGCGTCACCTGAACGCCCAGCTCCACCTCACTCTTTCCACTCATTCCCCCGTCTGCCCACCGAGCTCCAAACCCACATCTGGACGCTCGCAGCGAAAGATATCGCACCCCGCGATATTACTATCTGTCACGAACCCTGCGAATTTGAAGGATATGCAAGTATCATTGAGAAGGTAATCAAATGTCTCGTCAATCTTCTGACCATCGGCCGGGAGAAGAGAGTTGATTATGAGTGTTCGGCTGTTCCTGCTTTGATTCATACGAATTATCTGGCGCGCAGTATCGCACGTAAGGTGTATAGGAGATGGTTTCAGGAGGCGCTTAATAGGAAGATTTATGTGGGGATGGAGGATAGGGTTGTGGTTGTGTCTAGGCCTGCTTGAGGGATAGCGAGGGGCTTGGAAGGCAAGTTTGATTGGGGAAAGATGTGATTGTCCCATTGTCATAATTAAAACGGTTTACATGGGTTGATTTCCTAGGAGATCTTTCGTGTCGTCTGTAAATACCACATAGTTTGAGAGGCTTGAAAGAGTCGTTGTGAAGTTGGAGTACGCGTGTATCGAGGAAAGGAATTGATATTTGAGGGACTTAATGAGGACCTTTACTTCGAACTTTAACCCTAGATGATGTGAATTTAGATGTTATCTGCAGCGAACTAGTTGTTTGCCATTTAACTAATAAAGTGGACAGATATATTCAGCTCTTTAAATGAAGTAGCCCACTGAAAGAGATGGACAATCTTGAGACGATAACCTTCAGAACATTACCGTTGTTATCAGATGACAGTCATTAGCTGCATGTCTGTTTCTGTTGCATATCTTAGAGTGTATAACTGCTAGCGTGTCCACTATATTAGCTAGTCGACGGGCTAGCAGAGGGTGAATACCATTAGAATCATCGCTTCAATCGCTTATTAGAAAGACGGAAGCAATGTTGCAATACATTTCAGATGTGCAACAAAACAGCAAATTTGGGTCCGAAATTTAGGCGAGACTTGAGAGGATTATCTTTGCTTGATACGCTGGCTGATATCCAATAATACTGGAATTAATCTTCTAACTTATACCATGTGTCAAGCTCATCATAGACGAGAGTGTCCCATTGTCTAAACTTGGGTCGAGTGCAGAAATGTTGAGAATCAGATGAAAGTAACTACGAGCCGTAGTTCAATTTATGAGTTGTTGATTGTGTGATTCTTTTGACTCAAGACAACAGTGAAAGATATATATCATATGGAAAGAAACACTGCGATATCACTGTTCCTAAACAGATCGGGCTAACAGTAGAGAGAGAACATTAAAGATACATAACAAACGGACTAGAGTCGAGAAGACTTCTCGCTGCTCACTTGAGACGCAAGGTCACAATAATCAGTAACCTTATATCTTCATGCTATTTGTACGAACAGATCCATCGCTCGGAGTTCTTTACATTGAAGGAGCAAAATGAAGTAAGTGAGTTGTAGATATTTATTAGGACAAATCCATACGAGATAGAGATAATTGCACGGGGATCAATACTTTTGAACAGTGCACTCTCCTTAAAAAAGCACCCGCAATTATTTCTGAACACCATCATCTCGGTCCACCAGTGGGTCACCCTGAAACGCAAGGCTGAGATGCACAGACCAAATTTCCACACGGCGGTTATCTAGCCTTGTCTCATGAAACAAACCACTCCCCTCCTCACATCAAATTCGTCTCATATACACCCCTCAAAAACATGGTGCTACTTATATGAATGAACTTCTCCTTCCCTCATTCCCCTTCATCCCATCAGTCAAGTTCCCCCCAATAAAAAATCATCCCAATTCCCTTTTCCAGAAATTTCCAACCAAACTCTCTCAAAATGAATCGACCACGCCAAGGCGAAGAGCTCCCATGGGCTAAACCCCTCAGCATAGATCTCCTGCACAAAGTACTCCAAGTAACTTTTCTGCATCCCTTCGTCGCTTGGATGATTCCTCTTTGTATGCGCGCCCAAGCAATGGCCTGGCATCATCAAGCTATTCAGTATGCTATCGGCTATGCTTCTCTCCTCACCATGCTATATTTCCTTTCGATCCTCAATCGTCAAATCGCATACTCCAAAGCCCGAGAAGTAGATCTGTTGGAAGAAGTTATAGTGATTACAGGTGGTGCGAGCGGACTGGGATTGCTAGTTGCAGAAGTATATGGCATGCGCGGTGCGACGGTTGCGGTGTTAGATGTGAGAGATTTGGAGAGTGGAGAGGCGAGGGGAGTGAGTTATTACAAGTGCGATGTTGGAAATCGAGAAGAGGTTGCTAGAGTGGCTGTGGAGATTGAACGAGATGTGAGTATCCCTATCTGTTTGAAAAAATTACATGAAACTGATACTTGGAAATAGCTCGGTACCCCTACAGTCCTCATTAATAATGCGGCGATTGTAAACGGTAAATCGCTTATGGATTTATCTCTCGATGAAATAGAACAGAATTTCAAAGTAAACCTCCTAGGAAGTTTCTACACTCTCAAAGCTTTCCTCCCAGGTCTCATCCGCACCGGTCACGGTACCATCGTGACTATGTCCAGCGTCCTAGGCCATCTAGGAGCCGCTCAACTCAGCGACTACAGTGCTTCTAAAGCCGGTCTCACTGCGCTGCACCACTCTCTAACTGCAGAGCTCAAAGCCTATCCTAATATCAAAACGGTATTAGTCGAGCCAGGTCAATTAAGCACACCGTTATTTTCCGGGACCGTAACGCCGAATAGTTTTTTCGCGCCGGTATTGGAACCGGTTGATGTGGCGAGGGAAATTATTGCAACGATCGATAAGGGGAGTAGTGCGGTGTTGGCTATGCCGTTGTATGCGCGATGGGTGGGATGGATGGGGGTTTTGCCAGTGGGAGTGCAGGCGATTGCTAGGAGGTTTAGTGGAATTGATGGGGCGATGAGGACTTTTGAGGGGAGGAGGGAGAGAAGTAGGGAGAAGGAAAGTTTGATTTAGGTGGTGAGATTTGATGCTGGCATCAGATTTATGTGGATTAGGTGGGAGAGAGAGGTATAATATGGATGGATGGATGGGATGGGATGAGATGGAATGGAATGGGACGATCTATAATGACATCTAGGAATCATCATTACTCTGTGGATCACTGGCGTTTATGGAATGATCAAGTATGATCTGATGATACTTTATATCAAATTGAATACACACACACTACGAGTAGTTATCCCAAATCACCGAACTTATATTATTGAGATCAGTGATACATCCCCTACACTCAAGAGCATTGTCATTACTACAAACAAACTCCTCATTTAATTTCAATTCATATCTATCATATCATATCATATCACATCAAAAAGCATTTCAGCAAAAGAAGCAAAACCAACTCAAGTATACAACTAACCATCATCGCCCTCACATAATTCATCTATACTCAATGAGCCCACAGCCCCTAGAACTGATGAACCAATCAACATAACTACGTAGCTACAATCCCGGTCCCCACCCCAAGCCCTCCCCTTCTAACTCTCCTACAACACCCACTCCTCAATCCCACACCCAACTCAAATCTCGAATCCAGCATACAAACCCACCATAAAAATTACATTCCCCCCCAAATCTTTTTCCTTCATCCAAGATTACATCTCGATTCTCTATCGTCTAAAACTACCTAACCTCTATTCCCTCTACTTCCAATATCTACACACACTACACAGTACAACCAACCCCAACAAAACCACACACTGAAACCTTAATCCCCCATCATTTTTCAATTTCCACCACATAGATATCACCGCTCAAATTCTCCAAATCCGCACAATCTCCCACCTGCGTCATCTCCTACACACACAAGTCACAATCCCATCAGTGCGATTTGGAATTTCTATTCTTTCATCACAGATGCTGCGAATGAGTTGTACTAATACCTATATAGAGGTATGGAACGATTTGTAGAATGCGGTTTATTGTTTATTAGAGAAAGCTGTATCTGTGTCTGATATTTGAGCTCTCTTTACTCGGTCCATGATTCGGAATGACGGGAATGGGGATGGTCGTTTTGTTTTTCAGTTTTTGTTTAAGTGGGTTATTAGGATGAGATGAGATGAGATTTTGTTATTCGAGCTTGAGATCTTATTTGACTGCTTAAATATTTAATATTATATAAATCTGAATTTAGATTCAATATCTATATTAATTGTTGATTGTATGTGAAGTATATAATATTGAACTTAGAAATTGCAGGAATGAAAGTACACGAAGTGCATAGTATTGAACTGCAGGAATGAAAGTGCATGAAGTATATAATATTGAACTCAGAAACCACAGGAATGAAAGTCCATCATCAGAAAGAAGACTTGAGATAACACATAGATAGATGAGTAGATAGATGAGTAGCTACATTTGGAATTTTCTCACTCAAACTTGTTATTCTAGGAAAGTGTTTTGAATATTCAAAATTATCTAAATCTTGAAGTTTAGATTCGATATCTATATCAATTATTAATCTGGTATGAAATTCACCGCGCTGGAACAAGGGATTGCAGGAATAAAGTATACTAGAGATGCATAATCAGAAGACTTGAGATGAAATGAGAGGAGGCAAGATGAAAGAAATAACTGGTTGGTTTCCGCTTTGGGCGGTGGTACTGTCTGATCATCGTTTTCTCTTTTTTGTTTGTTGCACATGGCTAGAGTAGATAGATATGTCAAACGAATTAACGAACATATTGCAGAGAGGGCAAAGAACGTGCAATGGCGTAAGGGGGAGGAAATCGACCAATTCCATTCATGGAAACTATAGGATATTATTCTTTGTATATTCAAACCTTGTGTATGAACTTGAGATCGAAGTCTTAAATCAACTTGGAGAATCCGAGAGCATAGCTTTTCATGTAACCAAGTACTAGATTCAACATGCCATGCTATGGTATACCGATAAGTGATTTTTGTTTCCCCCTGAAGCGATTTCGGATGAATGAAAATTATTAGGCGAGTCAAAACAGAGGTATTGGCCTAGCAGAATCTTAACCAGTCTCAAAGACACGCTAAATTTGCACAATTATGGGGCATTTTCCCCCCGTAACATATGGAGGTGATCCTGATTCCTGATACTGATCAACCGCCCAATTTACAAGCACGACACAGAGAGGTAATGTACTGGAATTAGGACATAGGATGGCTAGAACGAGAATGAGAATAGACTTAAGTAGTCGAGGGATAAGTCCCTGGATGGAATAATTGCTGTGCTATCAAATTCTCTATCAGTACATCAGATTCAGGAGTCACTAGACCACCCACGTATCAAAGAAATACGAAGCCAGCCCATCAGTTATACCACAAGGATGTTCCGGTTGCGGATCGTGATGGGCCAGCTACTTAACAAGGATGAGATCTGACACCTGTCACCATACCA